AATTTTTGAGAAACGTTTCCAAGATAGTAGAGTGTGTCAGTTACCTTACTGTTGCTGGGATAGAATTCTATGATCAAGGCTACTTCTTGAAGAAAGAGTTCATTTCTTTCAGTTTCAGGGGGATGAGTTTCATTGTGCTGGAGAAGCATGGCAGCAGGCAGGCATGGGAGCCAGCTGGACGGGGAAGCTAATCACATCCCAACTGCAGGCATGAAACAGAGCAAACTGAAAGTAGAGAGAGGATAAGTACTCTCGAAGCCTGCCCCAGTGACACATTTCCTCTGTAAGGTTACACCTCCGAAACCTCAAATGATGACAACATCTGGGGACCAGGTGTTAAATGCCTGAGGTTGAGGAACATTCTCATTCGATACCACATAGAGTATGTCCCTACCTAGAGTGTCCTTCTGCTAACATCTGTTGCCGCGGGACGTGTGTCTTGGCAAAGATGCTCTGATACGTTGCTCTTAACTCTAGTTTTCACCAAGGTTTTCTTGTTCCAGCACTCCAGAAGCAGAGGCAGGTGCATCCGTTCAGGGCCAGCCTGGTCTGTGTAGTGTGTTCTAGGATAGCCAGGATTATATTAGTGAGACCCTATCTTTAAATAAAAATAGAAACTGGGCCCATGAAATGTAGGTAAAGGCACTTGCTGCCAAGACCCTGGAATTCACATGATGAACTGTCTTCTGTGGTTCTTCCCTGGCCTCCAAATATTCTCCAAGGTATGTAACCACACAGATACAATCAATCAGTATACAATGTCTCTGATAACTGACTTTATCTATCTTGTCTGATATTCAGATCCAGCTCCTGACTGCTGTTTACAAGAACTTTTTTTCTTATTTTCCTTTCAGCTGTGGCTATCTAAAGTACATCTATGTGTAATCTGATTTTTCTTTGGGCTACCAGCTCACGAATAATGACCCAGAGACCCATCATTAATTATGAAAACTCAGCCCCACCCTAGGCCTGTCCCACCAGCTCCTGCAACTCAAATCAACCCATTTAGCTTAATCCACATTTTATGCCATGCCTTGTTACCCCATCTCTCCGTATGTCTCTGGTTTGTGTCAAGTTCACAAAATCTAACCAATGCAGCTGATCCTTTATCAACTGGACATACAGATCACCATTAACCGTAACCTTTCCTTGTTTATCCCCCAAGACATTAATACTACAATATAAAAACAGTATAACCGTAAAAGTTCCAATCTTAAAAAACTTGTTAAGAGTTCAGTGACACACTGGGCCCAGACTGCAGCCAAGGGCCATGTCTGGGACCATGGCCCTATAGTAGCCAGGGTCTGGGATGACATATGTGGCTCCTGTTGCCATCTGGGGACATAAGGATGCCCAGGGTCAGGTCAGCTGAGTCCAGGTTGGTGTCCAAGGGCCATGATGTAGCCAGGGCCATGCAGATCTGAGTGGTCGCAGTGCTTCTTAATGCTGTGGTGACATCCAGGCCAGAGCTGCAGCTGAGGGCCATGTCTGGGTCCATGGCCCTATTGCAGCCACGGTCTGTGTTGATATCCAAGGCTCCTGTTACCATCTAAGGCCATGCAGACGCCTGAGGTCTGGGACCATGTTGGTGCCCAAGGGTCACACTATACCTGGGGGCCTGTGGTGAGCTAAGTGGCCTGCACTGCCACCTGGGGCAATGGTGACATCCAGACCCAGTTGCTCCCAAGGACCATGTATCTGGGTCCATGGAATCACCATGTCTGGGGTCTGTGATGAAGTCCAAGTCCTGTATACCCATCAAAGGTCATACAGAAGCCCAGGGTTGGAGTTGCAGCCAGAAGCCTTGGTAGTGTCCTAGGGCAATGCTGCCACCAGAATCATCTCGGCCTGAGAGGTCAGTGCTTCCACCCAAAGCTAGGATGTTTGTCTAAGGGCCATGTCTGGGCTGGTGGTCCAGCTGCAGCTGGGGCCTATGTGGATGTCTATGGCCTGTTGTCACCTCAGGGACCCATAGGAACAATGTGAGATGAAGTCAGAGAGCCATGCTGAGCCAGCCCCACCCTTTGCTGGCCCAGAAAAAGCTGGCCTTGCCTCTTAATGGACAATGCAGCAAAAGAGCTGGCCCCAACCCTCATCAGGAGAGCTGGCCCCTGCACTCAGGAGAGAGCTTCACCCCTCACCACAGGCAAGAGTGGACCAGTCTGAGAGCATGGGCTTAGGGGAAATAACTCAGCCCCCTCGTCTGAGGCAAGTGGACCCAGTAGTCTTGATTGGCCAGCTCATCCACCACCCAGGCCCACAACTGTGTCTTGGGTTGGCCCACCCTAGCATCTACCCCTGCTACTTGGGTTGGCC